GGGGGAGCATATATTTTAATGCATTCTAGGTTATAAAGCAATCACAACCCAAAAAACTAAATTAGAATTGTAAAAATGTAATTTTAAGCCCCATGTTAGGCTTTTCAAAATTAAAGGGGACAAAAACCTACTTATTTGAGCTGATCGCTGAGTTCAAAGCACCTCTTGAAAGCATAACAGAATGCTCTTCCTTTGCCCTAGTCTTTCATTTGCCTTTTGCATTCTACTAGTCTGTTACTGTGAGGTTCCTTGAACCACTAACCATTACTGCTAGTTTTTCGCAAAGAAGGGGCTTTGGTTTGGGTAGCTACTGACTGTGTGGCATGATGGGGACTCCCACAAGTGATGAAGAAAATCTGGGTCCAGTTTGACCTATACTTCAGAAATAACCAACTGCAATCTTGTTTCTAATTTAGGTTATTAATATTTGAATGAATTTTTTACTATCATGCATGAATTATGAACTTCTTAGGGGAATATCAATACTATTTTTTTTAAATTTACACATTGTGGATATTTATTATTTGTATAGAGATTTTGTCTAGATATCTCTGTGTAAAGCTGTGATGTAGTGTTTGAAAGTGTTTGGTACCAATACTGGGTTCTGCATGGCCATGTCCCACAGCCTCCTTTTCTGCCCTGGCCCTGTACTGCCCCTTTCCCTCCACTGTCCTGGCACAACCCAGATGGGGAAACTGATTCAACAAAAAAAAATCCAGCACTCCCCCCTGCCTGTGGTGTTTTTAGCCAAATCAATTTCCCTGTTCAGTTTATAGCACAGCTGTAGAAGAGTTGTGTTGCTGCGAGGAGGAGAGTGGCATATCACAGAGAGACAAACAGGAGAGGGCAGGACTGGCAGTTCTTTCAGGCAGAACCCACAGCCTCTGAGCCCCATTGTGTAGCCTTCTGTGTTGGTTTTCTAATTGTTATGATGAACACCTTATAATCAAAATTAAGAGCTGACAGGTCTCTAAAAAAAGCAAATAATTCAAGCACAAGGTAACAGTGAGATCATACTGGTCAACATATTTAAAGGCAGTGACTGCAAACCACCAGATGAGTCATTGCTGAGCTTTTCCTGTTAGTATCACAGCAGGGATGAATGTTAAGGAGGCCACAGTTGAGGTCCATGCTGTGTCTCTGACAAATCAGTCCCATACATTCCATATTAGTTCAGATGGCTTGACTCATTGTCCTGTGATGAAACTGTGGTTAGACAATTGACCACAACACTAATGGAACAGGTATTTTTTTCCCCAGTACCTTTGTTTATATTGTGATCTCTCCCTCTGCATCCTTCAAAGGACTCTGCTCTCTGTTGCATCAACCAAAAACTGCTTTCACTTACAATCCCTTCTCACTTCATCTATGCCCTTTCTGTCTGTTGTCTTTCAATACAGACATGTTGAGTCTCTTGAAGTATCCCAGTGCCAACCTCCATGGCAGACCTGCTGGATTTCCATGACTTGCTGTCTTGTATTTGTCATCTCCTATGTGGGAGGTGTCTCCCTAAGTAACAGTAGAACTATGTGTAATCCTCCCCTTGGCCCTTGAAATTCATCTTGTTTTGGGTGCCAAAGAGAGGGTGACAACAGTTAGGATCTATGCTGCCCCATGTGCTTCTCTTTCTGGACCTTTCAGAAATACACAGAAATATGCACATTTATGTGCACATGCAACTTGTCCTCTG